AGATATCGACCAAGTATATAATGATAAATACATTCAGATAAACATGACATGAGCATTGGTCAGTGCAAATATGATTGTTTTAATGATAAATCTTTCAGCTAAACCAAATTATTTTAGGATTGATCTATAAAAGTAAGATGGGCGCCAACATATACATTGGAATTTCAGTCATTTTTAGGAATGTAGATGAAAAATGATAAGTATCCACACCAAAATGAGACAACCACCATAACTGCTCAGAAAACATGTGACAAAATATTATTCTCCAACGTTAGTTCCATAAATGACCAACTTTACATACTGCTCGCATAAATCAAAATTTGAAAGAGTAAACTCTTGTAACCCAAAAGGATAATATGATATCCCGATGAAAAGGACTTACAATAATCAAAGATAGTGACCAAATATGAAATGCTCAAATATAGTGAACAAGAATGTCCAATCGGCACAAGTAGATGTCACTTACTATAAAGTCCGATATTCTCTTTGGAGGAATATATGAAGGCAAAGAAGAACACAGTGGAAGTACATATAGTCACTATGCAATGTTATATATATGCCGTTCTTTAAGTCCAATGGCTAAGCCTGGAGAGTATCATATCACAAAGCAGGAAGTACTTATAGAAACTATGGACGTATAAAAAGGTAAACAAAAATTTCTTCGAAGAGGGTCGAGTAACAACTCCAACTCTAAATTCGCATCTGACTCAATGCCATGCAGTCTTTACATTTTAGTGCTTATGCTGGGTAAAGGAAGGATGTGTTATGGGAATGAATAGGCTCCACATACGATGGATAGGGCATTGTGTATTGTGTAATGAAAATTAATTATATTTTATTAACATGTTCACAGAGTGAAGAATAAAAGAGTAAAAGATGATTACTACTTTAAAAAGAGAAGGAAGCATTATAAGTTACCAATATTCTCTTCAACGCGGAGAACGAAATATCTGCAAGGCCACCAATAAACGATTTTAGAAATGTAGTTGAATAAACACATTTTATGACATTTTATTATTTAAAAACATAACAATTATTTCCTCTTAACAAATGGTGAATATAGGAAACCAATTTCTTCACCTGCTGCTATCAATAACTGGCTCCACTGGGTGTGGCTCCCCTTCTCTCAAAAATGCTCGAGCATACAGTTCACCTGTTTTATATTATAGTCATTAGAAGTTATATTTAATATGTCACAGTATGAAGCAGACTGTAGACTAACATGAAAAGAGCAATACTAATATTAATTGTAGAAAGCAAACAAAAATAACCTGTTTGCTTATCCTCTAATCTAATAATGCATTCAACTCCTTTACTGATAACTTTTAATGTGCCTTCCCATGACCATTTGTTAACATTCCATTCATCGGCCCTACAAGAACAAGGGAAAATTCATTTTTCATTCTAAAACCTTCAAATTAGTTCAGCATTAACCATATTGCTGGTTCTGAATCAAGAAAATGTCTTTCTAAGTCAACAATCATAGAAGCACTTTAAAGCAACACAACATCGTTTGTTAATGTTTTGCCAATTGATACTATTTAAACAAAAGTAAATGAAAAAAAAATAAAGAAAAAAAAAATATCACAACTGCTCATCAACAAGTGGAAAACCTGTAGGAAGCTGCAGTTTTCCTGGGAGGTATCTGCAAGATCAATGGTGGAAACACAAGATATGTCAGACTAACTTTAGAAGAAGCACAAAAAATTAAGTGGAAAGTAAAGATCAGCTGTTCATTATCCTAGTATAATCTTTAACAAGCAACATAATCCATGCTATAACTTGAATTGTCATTTAAGCTGATGAAGCATTAAAACCCAAAAATGTTTAATGCCCATCAGTGCACATATGCAGCAAATCTTACAGGTTATCTTATTTCTTGAAGAATTACAATAGCAAAGCTAGTTGATGCCAGCTTGTCAGTAATAAAATTGCAAACTTACTCCAATTATATCGCTCGCATTTTTAGCTTAAATGGCAAAGTTAGGAAACAAAGACACGCGTCTTGTAGGATGCAAAACGAGTGTATAAACAACTGCATTATTTCCTTTATCCAGCAGAATATAAATATATATTTTTTTTAATTTACAAAGATCAAATTTCCACCAAATCCATTTCTTCTAGTTTGATGCATAAGATTAGTTATCTGATGGAGGATGGTTTCATTATTCGTCTTTCCAATTTACAACCCACTTTTCATAAATTAAAAGGTCCATAACCTTTTCAAACATCAGAACGCATCAGCAATTATTGACAAAGACCAATATTTTCCAAGGATTAAAGTTTGTGAACTGATGCTGTCCCTTTTACAGATAGAAACAATCACAAAATGATTAAAAGAAACAATAAGACTAAGTCTAGTGAACTAGTGCAAAAGGAAATAAGATAAGCAACAATCATTATGTCAAAAGACAAAAGATTTAAACAATTTCCCACAACGTAGTCACCCTACAAACATGTAATTCTGCAACAGAGTGTTAAAACCTACAGCTAAAAGCAACCTCACTACATAAAACTGCGCAAGGTTTTTTAGCCAATTATGATCTTGAATACTTAAACAAAAAAGGAAAAAAACAAAACAAGGAAACAACAAGAAACCAACATCGATTATATCACCGGACATTTCAAGCTAAGATTCAACAGTCGACATGAACGAAAAAAATGAGATCTCCCAATAAAAGTTCATATTTTTAGGGTAAAGCAAGTATCAGGGCAATAACCAAAACATAAGTATAGTTTTGCAACTACAAATTTACCATGTAAACATAACATTCGGAAACTTGAAACAGAACAAGCTCAACCGCCTCTACTTCTTCTTCTGCCATTGTCGTCCTTATAGATATGATCGTGGTATCTGCAGACGAGAGCCAAATACCATAAGATTAACTGAACAATAGCAGATTTAACCTAATTGAACTGAATTGAATTTCAAGATGCACAGGGTGTAATGTTTGGGGAAAATGGGCAAAGTAGAATTGGTTGTACCGGCTTATACGCAATCGATCCTCAACCGTGATCCATTGTCAACTAAAGGACCTTTTACCAACTGTTATATTTGAGTTTGTCAGTTTTAGTGAGCTAATGTAGAGATTTTTTTATTAAACCGTTTTGTTAGAAAAAAAAATAAAAATAAATTATAATAATAATTTGAATGATGTGGAACAGTTAAATTATGGGATGGTGAATATTATTGTATGTTAAAACCATGTAATAATTATTTTTTAACTGAGTTGATGATTTTTTTTTAAATGAATATTATATAACTTTTTATATAATCTCAATTTCAATGAAAAATATTTATTAGACAAGATGTAGCTAAAAAAAATTATACTCAAAGACCCCCTAAAAGTCCACTTGTTTAATCTTTTATCTTACTTCTCACATGTCAATTATGCTCTCTATCTTAGTTAATTGTCAGAATATCTTAATTAAGTTAAAGTAAAAGCATGGTTAATAATAATGCAAAAACAGTCTTTCAATGTAGCAACAACTAAAATTAAGGATTTTTTTTTTTACCTCTCAAAGTATGCTCAATTTTATAGTGGCTTACAAAGTTTTCCTTGACATATTACCTCACAAAGTACAAAAAACTGACAATTTGTTTCCTCTATGAAAAGTTGAAAACCCTAACATGACACACACACACACACAAATACTTAATTAATGATAAATTTAGAATCGATCTTTAAAATTGATTTAGGACTTTTGAAGCCAAGGCGAGGCGAACAAAATAACGTATGGTTTATCGAATTCTGATAAATGATACGTCGGTAATCGATCATCAAAGAAGATAGGCGAACGTGTGTATAGGAAGAACTTCGATTCAATCTTATGAAATTCAATTTTTTTATGGGAGGTATCAATTGAAAACTTGCAAGACGAGTTTTCTAATGAGGTAATTATGAAAATCCAACAGTTGCATTTTGGGTAGTAACCTAAAAAAAACTAGATATTTGTCAATTTGTTTGACTACTAATCAGAATTGGACTACTGGATTTTCACATGATTATCTCATTAGAAAAATCATCCTGGAAACTTTTAAATGACATCTCTCAATCAAAAACTAGATATCTTGGTTATCAAAAGAGTTGAACTGAAGTTTTTATTTTAATACATACGTGTACATACCTTCTTCCCGATCGATTACCGACGTATAAAATTTTTAGAAATCGATGAACCAAACCTCATTTGTTTGTCTCGACGTGGCTTTCAAAGCCCTAAATCAATTTTAAAGATCGTTTGGAAATTTATCGTTAATTGAGTTAAAAATCTTTTTGTTTCGTGTTAGAATTTTTAATAGAGGTGACAAATTGGCAGTTCTTTGTGTTGGTTTTTTGCGAGGGATTATCACAGGTTTAATGTTGTTGAATGTGGGTTTACGCAAAACAATTTTTGGAGGTGGCTTTCGATGGCACTGTGGCTGTCGGGGAGCAGTGTTTGCGGGATCGAGAGCAGCTGGGCGAGGGGCTGCTCCACGATCACCACGGGGTTCGCCCCGACGACGAGGACAACAACGCTGTCCCCGAAGAGCACCTGGCCGTGCGATGCGGTTTCTATAGAGAGGTTGGAAGAGAGGTTGTTCGAGTGGTTTTATGCAGAGCCAACTTCCGACGGCCGGCAGTGCCTGGCCTTGGAGGAGAACGGCAGCGGGGATGAGGACGGGAATAGACATGGCCGGTTCTGACCCGGTCCATCGAACCGGGCCAGAACCGGTCCCGAACTGGCCCAGATTCGCCGGCTCGTTGAACCAGAACATTGGCCATGTGGGTCGGTTCGGGTTCTTCATTTTTTCTTTTTTGGTCCCGGCGATTCGGACCGGGTTGAGTCGGGCTGTGGGTTGAAAGGCGGGTCATAGTTGATTTTATTTTTCTTTATTTCCTTTCAAGCTTATTTATCTTTATACATATATAAATACAAATAATTATGAATTTTTAAAATTTTGATTATTGAATATCTACAAAATATAGTGAAGAAACATATAAGGGAAATGAAAAGCTAATGTGCCATGGAGATTGATCTTAAATTCTTAATGATTGCAAACCCATCCAAAAGCAAGTAGTACCCACACAATCTGAGGAGGTCCCTTTGGCCTGACAAAGCATAGATTTGTCATAGATGCCAACATGTGAGCACAACCGATATTCATCTATGTACCGTCTCTATGCATTAAA